ATTGTTTTATCAAAGAATAACCTAGCGAATCCGTATATAAAATGGTTATCTAGAGAGAGAATAGATTGTGCATTCAAGAAAATGGTTTAAATCCTAAATTTAATGAGTCAACTTAATGAAAATCTAACGTAACGACTGGAGGTCCTATGAGCTAGGTTCAAAAGAAAAACTAATTATAAATGACTTAATAAGAAGCATTTCGGAGTTTTAACTCTTTCAAATTTCTATGATACGTATAAATGTTGCCTCAAAAGATTAGTTAGGATAAGCTTTGCTTTTAATGATAACTATGTCGTGTAAATAATACAATTGGAGTATTATATGGTATTGTATATCAAACATTACCTATGTGAGTGCGAAATTGGTCTGTTCAAATGAGAATTGCACTTAGGAAAAAATTTTAACGTACTTGTAGAACCCAAGAGGGTTCATGACCGACATAATGAACAACTTAGAGAATCAAAGTTTGATATGAAAGATAATGTGTTTAATTTATTGTTAGAGGCTTGCAATAACGATCGACACTTCAAAAAGTTTTGTTATTGATTAGCTAAACAAGTTCGATATATTTTTACTAAAAAAGGGTCTAAACAAAAGTTATGTATCTTGATGCCTTGTATTTCAAATAGTATTTTTTTCGTCTTTCTTGTTTTGGGTCAACTTCTTCCATTCATGTGGATCAAAATATAAGTTATGCTACACGGTGCTTCTCAAAGCATGCACCCAATTTATGTTATAATAAGTGATCATAGATATTTTAATTTGAATGCTTATTATATATTCAATAAATGCAATTAATAAAATCACAATTCAATTATTATAAAATGTTATTTTATTAAAGCATAATATAATAAATGAGCACATAATCAAATACATTTGTTCTATACATTTCTCATACAACCTAGACGGCCTTGTGATTCTTGCAACTAAAAAGAATGCTTCGATGCCGCTTTGTCACTTCTTTAACTCGTGTGTTTTTCACATTGAGGGCCATTTTTTGAGAATCGTATGGTGCGATCATGGTAACTTCTGCATTTTTTCTTGTAGAAGAGTTTCAAAATCTGTCAAATTTTCTTCAAAGGTCTTCTAACCAGACACATCACTTGCATAAAATTATCCAAATAGCCAAAAGTAGCTTCTTAGCCCAGTTTGACAAAACTTTTTAAGATTATAAGCCGGTGAATCTCATGGATATGTGGTTAAAAAGTAGATAAAAGTCAGGGATATAATGAAATGTGTAATTAGAAATGAAGTTTGACCAAATTATACTCTAAAAAAAAGTTTTGTCAAATAGAGGCAACTCAATACTAGTTTTGGCTTTTCGAACGGGCTAGAGTTTATACGTCCACTTACTGCAAATATTGAATTGTGATCGAGGAGAAAAAGGTACAGCGTAATTAGGCTCCACATAATCCAATGAGCTAGCCGTGACAATGCTCCAATCTATGCTAGTTTCACTTATTGCATAACAAGTTGTGGCGATGATGCTGCTAGACATGCCATCTGATTCTTGTAAGAAAGGGGTAACTGGAACTGTGTGACAGTCTCTCTAATTCAAATAAGTTTGAACTTGAATCACTGTCATTATCATAGTTAGAACTTGCTGAAATTTCAGTCTTTCATTTTTGGAGGGAATGAATCACAATTCAAAAAGAAATTCTTCCTAGTTTCCAGCGAAGGCAAAAACTATTTAAATCCAAAATCGTAATCAAGAAGGATTAGAAGGGGAGTTGCTCCAAGTAGTTAGATTAGATTCCATTTCAGTTTTAATGCTGGTGTATAACAGATTATTGTTTTACCACTTGTACAAAGTTGTTGTAATTTGTGTATATATATTTGTAATCTTCTTCCATTTTAATCAATGAAAAGTAATACAGCAGCACGTCTTTCTCTCTGCTTTCTTCATTCATTTTTGCTTAATTGATTTACATTCATTTAGCTATTCTTGTTTTATGGTATCAGAGCCAAGATGGCTGATAACGACGGTACAAGTGTTACCAATACAAATTAAAACCTAATCCTACCTCAAATCTCAAATCCAAACTCTCAGGATCCATCCTTTCCCAACAGTCCTTATTTCATTGGAACAAATGAGAATTCTGGAGCACTGCTAGTAACACAAATGCTAGGCTCTAGTAATTATCATTCTTGGGCAAGATCAATGAGAAGAGCCCTTCGAATCAAAAACAAACTTGGATTCATTGATGAAAGTCTTTGTGAACCAACTGATGTTGATAATCCATTGATGGAGCACTGACTTCAGTGTAATGATATAGTTATCACTTGGCTACAAAACACCATGACGATGGACATTAAGACTAGCACGTTGTATGCTGAAACAGCACACCAATTATGGCTGGAATTAGAACAGCATTTGGCTCAACAAAATGCTCCTAGAATCTATGAAGTCAAACATGGAATAACAACACTGATGCAAGGACAGGATACAGTGAGCACTTTTTTCGAAGCTGAAAACACTCCTCGATGAGCTAATGAACTATGAGTCTATTTCCAATTGCACATGTGGAGGGTTGCAGACGGTGGTTAGCAATCAACAAAGGGACTGGGTGATGAAGTTCCTTATGGGACTGAATGACTCTTAGAAAAGTCTCAAGGCCCAAATC